TGAACGCGTATTACAGCTATATGGATAAGAGTTTGTTTAAGGCGTTAAAATCGTTATGAAAATTAGATTCGAATTAATATGGCTAAGACCATAGATTTTAAAAGCGGACTATATTTATAATAAGATTGCCGCATCCAACAACGGAAATATGTATACACACACACACAAATACCCACATCCGAACTTGTTTTTCGTCTGTTCTACCCAGGCAACTTGACTACCCGACAACAGTAATACAAGTTATCAAACAGACGGGGTAGAGAGAGAAAAAAAACGTAGGGAATGTGCAAAGCAGGCTCGCGGGTACAATTAAGTAACTTCGTAACTTTGAGTGGGAAAATATACACAGAAACAAACAGCGGAATTAATGCAAGAAAACTTCTTCTTTAACACTTACACTCTATACGTATATTGTTGCATGTATACACGTAAACCCGTGGAAAGAGTGAGTGAGTGAGTGAGTGAGTGTGGAAAAGAGAGAAAGGGCCGGTGTTTAACGAGAGGAAACTTCAAGTGTTTGTAATCATTTTATTCTCCAAGGAGAATTATTACTAATACACTTACTTCTCTGCTACAGCTGCTGTAGCTGAAATTACCGTTTAATAACAATATTCATCCAGCTCTTTTATTCTCTCACTCTTTCATTCTATTATCTGCCTCTTCGTCTAACTCATGCGAAATAATTAATGACGAAACTCGAGTGATCCATGAAATTGTTCAGTCGAACTTGATGGCTCGTCACTCGAAGAAGCAGGCTTAATTTTACTTTAGTTTAGTGTTTTTTTTTTAATAATATTAATTATTATAATACATTGTATTAAAAGTAAGTAAACAACTCCTCAATCGATCCGCTCGAGGATCACATTCAGACCGTCGTGAGGTCTGATGACTATCTCGAAATTCATCTTTACGTCCTCCACTTTGTCCACGGCCTTCACTCGGTACTTCCTCAGAATCGTAGCTAACAGTATCTTTTGTTCGTGCTGCGCGAATTTTTGCCCTGAAAAAATCAAGTTTTAAATGATTGAACGCACGCTGTATGAACACCACAGTTTTAATGCTTCATTTGCACGAACGTACACACAATGTTCGTACTAACGTACAAAAATGTAAAGACACTTCTTAAGTATTAAACTGTATGAATTGTTGAATGAATGATAGACTCACCAATGCAATTCCTTGGGCCGGCGCTGAAGGGCACGTACGAATAGGGATGTCGGTTTTTCGTGTTTTCCGGCAAGAAACGGTCCGGATCGAAGCGTTCCGGTTCCGGCCAATTTTCGGGATCGTGGTGCGCCTCGTAGATTTGCATATTGATTGACACGCCGGCAGGAATGTAATAGCCGTCTGTCGGTCGAAAACAACCTTTTAATTATTCTAATCAATCCAATTCATTAACAGAGCTCCGACACCACCAGCAGCAGCAATTAAATTGATTTTCAACCCTTTTTACACTCCCTCCACATCTCTACAGCACAACACAAATAGTAAACCTAAGCCAAGTGGACGTAACATACCCAAGTTCAGGTCCTCGCTCAGCATGCGCGCTATAACCGGTACGTTCGGAAAGATCCTGAGCTGCTCTTTGATCACCCGCTCGAGACATTTCATCTCCTGCAAATCCTGCATCGTGAACGGCCTCTGCTCTCCCTGCATTATATCCTCGATTTCCGTTCTCACTTTGTCCTGAACACACGGAATATTTCATGAACACGCAAACACGGCTTAGTTTTACACTTAGTTTTCGCGCACAACAAACTCGATCTGCTCACCTGCCAATCCTGATGGTTTCCCAATAACAGCAACGTCCAGCAGATTCCAGATGAAGTAGTGTCATGTCCCTACAACAACAACAACAAAATAGAAAACATTATAATCAAAGTTAAACTAAACTGTACGTAAAATGTATAAACTGATTAAATATTTAGTCGAAATGAATTTTAATTGATATACGTTTCATATGGAACGTGCACAAATTGGAAAATATTTAATTAATCATTTATTAAATCGCAAAAGTTAATTTAAATATATTTAATATTCAAATTTGAATATTAAAAAAAAAAACTTGCAGACATTAATATCAACATGAAATATGAAAACACTGCTTTTTCGAACATTTTTTAAAATTTGAACACGAATTACAGCCAAACGGCTAAAACCACAGTAATATATCGATACTTGCTAGATTCCCCAAACATTCAGCTTTCATATGCATATATTGGATTCATTCTATCTATTATAGTTTGCGAGTAAATCAATGAAATGTAAAGACACTGCTTTTTCGAACGTTTTAATTTCAATTTTTCAACTTTGAACGCGTATTACAGCAATATCGATAAGAGCACAGGAATATATCTACACTTGCTGAATTCCCCAAACATTCAGCTTTCATATGCATATATTGGATTCATTCTACCTATTATAGTTTTCGAGTAAATCAATGAAATGTGAAAACACTGCTTTTTCCAACATTCTAATTTCAATTTTTCAAATTTGAACGCGTATTACAGCAATATCGATAAGAGCACAGGAATGTATCTATACTTGCTGGATTCCCCAAACATTCAGCTTTCATATTACAGCAATATGGATAAGAGAAGAGGAATGTAGTGTCATGTCCCTACAACAACAACAACAACAAAATAGAAAACATTATAATTAAAGTTTCGCTAAACTGTACGTAAAATGTATAAACTGGTTAAATATTTAGTTGAAATGAATTTTAATTGATATACGTTTCATATGGAACGTGCACAAATTGGAAAATATTTAATAATCATTCATTAAATCGCAAAAGTTAATTTAAATATATTTAATATTCAAATTTGAAAAAACTTGCAGACATTATTGATATCAACATGAAAGCGTGTTAGTTTCGCTAAAGAACACACGCAACACGAGGATTCATTAATCATTTGAGCGTTTTGAAAAAAAGTTGTTGATTTAACTGAATGATAATAAGAATGTCGGTGAAATAGTGCAATCAGTAACAGCGATGGAAACTATTTCGTAATTTAAATAATTCGAGAACGGAGGAGTTTCAATCTATCCGCCCAAAGTTTCCGAAGTGATTCGGGTTGGAAATTGGCAAGTGTTTGAGCATTTAGCAACAGTTATTAATGCATCTCGTGTATGTTACCCCACCAAAATATGATTTATCGAGAGCCGTACGGAAACGCGCACAAAATGAAACTGTCTATATTGAATGAAAAGAACAGGAAGATTTAAAGTGAGCTTTGTGGAAGGCGAAGTCGGCTCGAACATTAACAATTACCGCCGACATTTCAAACTGCAGCATTATCGCGTTCCGGTTTTTCGAGCTCGCGAAAACATTTATTCGGTTGTTTGTGTCTTGATTTATCTGCAGCAAAACGATAAAATTTCCATTCCCCGTTTTCCGGTTCCGTTCCCGTACAAATCATACTGATTCTACTACTTCTGCTCGAATCAAACTTACGGCGAATAAGAAAGTATCAATCTCCTCCCTAATCTCCGTATCGCTCAGATCCTGGCCGCCGTTCGACGCTTCCAACACGAGATCCAAGAACGCCTTGCGCTTCTTCTTCCCCATCAATAGATCCTCCTCACTCGTTTCTTGGACGGCAGAAGCCTTCTTCGAGTTGTACGCTTTCTTCTTTTCAACCAGCACCTACGAAGCGTTAGTAGATTGATGAAAAAGTTTTACCGAAAAAAAAAAACGATAACTCACTTGGGTTGCGACCTCGTGCAAGATCTTCACGCAACGGTAGTATCTCTTTCCGTTTTTCGTCATCTTATAGATGAACGGTATCATCTCCCACGGCCTCAACATCCTCATTATAGCCAAACCCGTGACACTGCAACAAAGCAAATTTACCAAAACTTTATACACTTTATACGTTCAAATTACCTGCACAACGCATCTATATACTCGCTGCTTCCATCGTCCATTGCGTTGAACTGTATTCCCATTGCAGTTTCTAAAAATTGAAACCAAATAAATATCAATATTGATATCACGTTAAGTGATAAATTACCGCAGATAATATCTAGAGTCGTCTTTGTGATGTAAGGAAGCATATTAATCTGTTGGCCAACTTTCGTCTCCAATTTGTCCGCCAACTTCAGGGCTTTCTCGTTGAAAACTTCCACGAAATTCTCCAGTATCGAGAAATGGAACGCCGGCGTCAGAAGCTTCCTCCTCTGGTGCCAGGACGCACCTAAACAGACAAACAAAATTAATCAAAAAAAAAGTAAACTCTTTCCTAATCATAATGAAATAATTCATAACGGTTTGAATGTAATTATTTAAATGCGTAAGAGAATGGAAAACTTTTCTCCCGTTTCCATTTCAATAACGGGATGGGGCGGCGGCTTATCCCGACGAAGATATGAAAAGATTATAATAACCCGAACGAAATTATGAAAGTTATACGAACCGGTATTAACGAGCAATCCGTTCCCCATCCACGGCTTCACGGTGTCGTAGCTCATGCCCTTGCTGAGGCTCACTTGGCTCGTCATCACTTTCTGAAAACGAACGGATTCCAAATTGGTAAAGATAACATTTTCAGTGCTGAAATTTATCGCCCGAAACGTTTATTATTATTATTATTATTGTCCATTATTTCCAGACCCATCGGTTCAAATATCGCCGCGAATTTATTTCGCTGAAAATCGCAGTCGCAATTGCAATTGATTAAATTAAGTGCACACTTTTCACACGCAAACATGCCACGATTCTATAACTTATTATTATCGGAACCGAACCGAAAACCGTAATTAACCGTAACAAGGCGTACTTGATTGTAATAAAATAGATAGTAATAGATACCTCAAAATATGCAGGTTTCATCAGATGAACGAGAGGTCTGTGTCCGAGCCACGACCTCAGGATTGGTCCGTACTTCAAATTCCTCTTAACCAAAGTAGAAAATATATCTGCAAACACACAAATTCAATTAACAATCGTAAAATAGAAACATTTCATCTACAATTTACAATGAACTAATCAAAGTGACGTAACAATACTACCAAAGTAAATATTTAAATTTGAAAAAAAAAAACTATTATTAGTTGCAAACACCACATAGTGCCACCACAAAAAAAATATTTAGTTTTACCAAATTACAATTTAAGACCACATACATCAAAACCAATATTCCTCGTACACAGAAATACATATTTCTGCAAATTGTTGTATATATATTTAGAGTGTAACCAAAAAAAATAAGTTTTTCTTTTGACATATTAAATATTTATATTGGCAGCATTTGCTTTTATGATATTCGGTGAATCTTCCACTTTACCAAACACTTTTGCTTAGAGCAATAGTTCACATACCAGATTTTGGAACGTTATAAAACTGATACGTTGTTCCTATCAGTGGATAAGCCCTCAGTCCTGGCAATTTCTCTATGTAATATAAAATTCTTATCCTTTTCCATAACGCGATTAGCGGAAACGCCAAAAGCAACACGACTAAGACGGCCGTGATCATTTCGAACTAAAACAAAAGAAAGAAATTTATTAATATTTCACAATTTCTAATATAAAATCTTCACATTTTCGATGCGACGAACCGAATCAAACACCTAATTGAAGCACAATCTCCACTCGAACTGAGCCATTATCAATACGATTTGAGAATAATCTAATTGAAATCGAGATTTTATCGTCACTTTAATTTCCGTTTTTTTTTTTCGTTCAATGCGATCAACACTACTTTAGAAATAGTCGTACACGTATAAATTGAAGCCAAAGTTTGCTCTGTCTCTTTGATAAGGGAATATCCACTCGAAAAATAGATTTCATAAGTAATTAGTTTACGATCGATCAATTTTCAATCGAAAAACTTGATTTGAGAAATGAAATAACTTTATTTATAGCGTTTAAGATAATTTATATCTATCACGTGAAGCAAGTTTCCAGATTACATTCATTCATAAATAAAAATTTTGAGAGTTATCAAAACACACTTGATGACGTTTTCTTATATAAATATTCATAGCAGTATTAATCAATAATGCTATGGAACTGACACAAGGGCACTTGGATATTATTATTATTATTTAATCAAATTTGTTGGTCTAAATCTAAATCATAATCTTTCTGTGGATATTATTATTATAATGAAACAATGTGCATGTACTTTATTACGTAATCCCTACTAATACTTTCTGTAATTGCAGAGTTTCGAGTTATTTTTAATTAAAAGATCTAATTGACGTTTGTTGCTCGACATGCAAGTGTCAAAATAATGAAAGTTTTGGCATGAAACATTCCTTTGTTTAACGTGAAAATTATTGAGAGTAAATCAAATTTCACAGGTCAACAACAATGAAAAAAAAAATAATTGTTTAAGTTTTGTTTCATGTTTATTGAAATTTTTAATAACTTATCGACATTTATAAACATATATAATTTCGTCACGCGATTGATGCGAGGATTCACATACATTTATAATAAATTTGCTAACATTTATTTACATTTTCTTTTGTTTTGTTTAAATTATACAGAATAGTTGATCCGTCGATATTTTCGATTTGTTAACTATCATTATTTCTTTTTTTTAATTTTACTTTGAATTTTTTTTCTCTTTCATTTCTCAATAGAGTTTATTAATTTACTTGAAAATATTTATACAACCAACGATTCTCGGAAAGAATATATAGTAGTAGTAAAGTATGAAGTAACACGTAAACATGTAAAGGAGAAATTGAAGAATTATAAATAAAAAAATAAAAAATAGTAATTAATTTATGTCTCGTCGCCTCCTCCTTCTGTGTCTGTTGTTGCTGCTGCGCACATCTTTGGTATTGGAGCATTCCTCCTTGCTGCTCGCGTTCGGCTCTTCGTCTGTCGTCAGGGTCGTGTTCGAAGTGCTGGAATGATTCACCGGATTCTCGGTTGGTTCCTCTTTGTTTTCCTCCACCGTTGTTTGTTCTTCCGTGTCCATCGGTTCGCCTTTGCAGAAACCGTTCGTCTCTAACGGATCCTCGTTCATCGCAAATTGTGGCTGCGCCGGTTGCAGTGGTTGTTGTTGTGGAGGATTGATCAACAATTCCGGACCTCCACCGTAAATGCCGTAAAAGAAATTCCAAATGTCCTCGTTGATGTCTATGTATTCCTCCGTACCTCCCTCAGTTGTACTCTTAGTGGTGTGATCGATTGGACCTGGGGGATCAAGCGTTTTCTTCTCGACGAAGTTATTCCATTGGGAGTACCATGTGCTGGAAAGCAGATGCGTCGGTGCTTCTTCCTGATTCTCGAACTCGATGTTCAACTGCCGGAGGGTTTCCATCTCGAGCGTGATTCGCCTCTGGATCGCCTGACAGATGGCGCACAGGTGTATCGAGGTGATCGGAGCACATCCGCCGTACTTTTTAAACAGGTAATCGTATAGTTTCTTCGGAATAGCAGTGGTCAACTGCTCGATAGCTAAAGATCGCTGCGGATTCACCGCGTTGTGCGAGCACAGAAAGTCCGAGTTGTCGATGGGGCCCGGTTCCGCGCACGTGTTGAATCTGCTCATCCACTGCTTGCTCACGTAAGCAACGTCCATTCCGGTTGCTTCCTCGTTACCCTCCACCAGCTCATTGATCTTAGTTTTCAGACCGTGCTGAGAGGTTCGGACTTTCCGGTAAAACAACACGTACGCCTCGCAATTCTGCACCACGTCCGGGTGAACCCTGGTGACGCACTGGTCATCAAATTCGTACCACTGATGGTTATTCAAAGCGTAGCACGTGTAATGCCCACCGCCGGCCGTCCCGTGGTGGCAAATCACCGAAAACAGCTCGAAAACAGTGACCTGCGATATGCAATCCTTGTGCAGGTACGGCCTCATGTCCAAACCCTTGAGCGGAAAACTGACGACCAGCGAAATCTTGCTGCTGTACATCAGTTCGTGCCGGAAACGCTTCAAATGAATGCACAGGACTTCCGGTAATTGCAGCACCTGCAATAGTAAAAAAAAACAAATCATTTGAATAATTTAAATCAATGAAAATGTTATGCACTCACTTTGCTGTATTTCAAGCCGTTCCGGAGTTTATTGCATCGCTCGCAACTGTACATATTGTCGCCTTTCAACTCGTCGGTACTGAAGAAAGCTGCCAGGCAATCGTGCAGAGTTATCGTCGGTCCGTAAAACCACGATCTCAGCCACGACATAATCCAAGTGACCCAACCATCTTGAATAGGTAGTACAGTTTCTGCACAGGTAACACCAGGTACAATATTCCTACCGTGTAATACCATCAGGTGGTCCCTGGATGGAATCGGAAGCGACAGATCTTGAAACGTTTCGACACGACTCGACACCCGATCGCACGTCAGACATTGCACGGACGATAGCAGCTTCCCATCGAATATATCGGAGATTATCGAACGGTATTTCAATTGCCTCTTGCCGATGGACGAAGAACCCTGACCATTGGAAATACTCGGTTGAGAATCTAAAAATAGTATTAATATTATTATTGTAATAACAATAATATAAAAGATTATATAAGTTACCAATAACCGAGTTGCTGTGCATCCTGGCACGAGTGCGCCTCGGACTTTTACTTCGGCTAAGTCTCCGCTTAGCTGTCGTGGGCCTCTCCGTGTCATCGCTCAAACTCGATCTCTCGCTGACACCTGAATCGCACGTCTCGTATTCGCCCTCGCTAGATTCGTAATTGCTGCTCAACGTTGGCTCGTCGACGAGACAAACGTTCTCAACATCGTTCAACGTGCATTCCGGTGGACAGATCTGCTTCAGCTCTTCGTGCAACTGATCCATAAAGTTCCTCAAGAATTCCTGAGTGTCGTGCTGATGATATCCACGGAACATTGCGAAGACGCTCCGTATTCCAAACAAAATACCTAAACAAATAATTATTCTCATCATCATCTTCATTCATCATCATCATCATCATGTAACATTACCTGATGGTGTTACGTATCCACCATTCTTCTTTATCCACATATCCCTGATGAGCGCTTGATATTGTCGACTCAACCCCGGTTTTCGATCTTCGGACAGCAAATGCACGGCAGCCGGACATTCAAGAAAGAAATTTGTTAACTGCGTGGTATTACTGAGCGCTTGAAGAGCGGCGTTCATGTAACAAGTGTTTCCTATATTCTGCAGACCCACTAAACCATCGGGTTTACCCTCCAATTCATCCTCCTTATCCTCATTATCACTAGAATCTGACGTGTCCGCAGACATTCGTCCACTCAAATACACCTGAAAATAAAAATGATAATAAATTTAAAATCTACAATCTAATAATAATGCAGTGTGTTGTATAATACGTAAGTAGTAATTTCAACTTACTGGTTTTTCTAAAATTACATGTTCAGGTGTATTGGTTTGCAATGTTGAATAACTCCCGTGACCAGAGTCCCTAGAATCTACCTGACAATCATCTCCATCCTGATCGTCGCTGTCCTGATAATTGACAACCACTCTGTTCTGGTTGCTCTGTTGAACGCTCTCAATAAACACCTCACTTTGACACTTGTAGCACCAAACCCGCTGCGTGGACAGATTCATGTGTATGCAATGCGAGGGATTCTCCTGAATTTAAAACGAGACAAATAATAATTGGATTTTTTAAAAAAAAATTCAATATCAGTACATACCGTGTTATGCATCACACTGTGATTGTTCATGTTCCTCGAACATCTCACTTTCAGGCAATTGCTGTACAAGCACACCCACAAATTTGGCCCCGGTGCGTTGCAATCTGCACAAGTTTTCTTCAACAACAACAACAACAAAAAATAAATAAATAAACATAAAATTTAATATATCAATGATTCGCTTGCTCACCTGATTGGAATTTACTAAATAAGCAACTGGAATGTCCGTTACTGTGGTCAAATGGCTGCACGCATATCTGTACGACATCTTTCCTCTCGATCCACCTAAACTGATGTTGAACACAGAATTGGGTTATTTCATTTACTTACTGTTTTTTTCAATGATTTTGATGTTGATGTTAATACAACACACAATGTATACATTTTTGTCATCTAATTTATAAACATTACCAATCTGTCAATAGTGACACGATATTAGCAATGAATTGTTGTTACACTACGTTTAATACTGGCTGTGAGGTAATTGATAAGAGCACAATCATCGTCTCTTTCAAAAGAGTGTTTCGAATCGTCGAATGAATTATTAAAACGTTATTGACATACCTTTAAAGTCCACGAATGCGGTAGCCCTTGCTGCGACCGGAGGATAACTCGAATGACAATTTTTACATAATACGTTCAATTCAAGCGAACCTTACATTTTTGTATTATCGCCAATAATTGTTTAACAATGATACTGACGTTTCATGTTCTGCAAAACTGTCGTCTGACAGACAGACGCAGACCCGAACAAAATCAACCGTGTTTGACGTACCTGTCAAACGGAGAAGTTGCAGAAGTCCACCCACAGATGGAAGCACTTTTTAAAATTATAATTCCAGTTTAAATCCGTACGTTCTGAATTTCTTCCAGGAATAAAACAGCAAATCTTTCAACCAAATAAATCTATGTACAACTGGACAATAAATTATATTGGAAATACACATTTGAGTATCAAAAACAAATTAGTCGCAGACCCGAACAAAATCAACCGTGTTTGACGTACCTGTCAAACGGAGAAGTTGCAGAAGTTCACCCACAGATGGAAGCACTTTTTAAAATTTTGTTTCCAGTTTAAATCCGTACATTTTGAATGTTTTCCAGGAATAAAACAGCAAATCTTTCAACCAAATAAATCTGTGTACAATTGGACAATAAATTATATTGGAAATACACATTTGAGTATCAAAAACAAATTAGTTTTATTACTATAGCAACACACATAGCAACGAAAGTTGTTTATTCTTTTGGCACTCGATGTGCACGTTTGTTCTCAATTCATTTTCAATTACTATTTATACAAATAATTTTAATTGTTTTCTTCTTGTACAATCAATAACGAACAATGTTAAAAGCGAACCAGAAGAAGTCGAAGAATAAAGCACCTGGAGATCACGAGTTAAGTGTTGCATATCAATTTTTTATTTATTCCAATTGTATACAATATATTTTGTGTTTTGTTTTTGTTTTTTCCTAGGCCAGCTGAATGCGATCACACGATTCATGGCGAGTTCATACATCACAAACCGAAAACTGCGAAGGAAAACAAGGAACTGGTTCGAATACGCCAGCAGAAGGACATCAGGGATATAATTGTTCCATGTAGGCAGCCTCTGGAAATCCCCAGAATATTGCCGGCATCGGAGTTTCAAAGACTCAAGAAACAGTCCTACGTACGATCTAAAATCAATCTTTTTAATTATGTAATTAAACGAAAATTAATGTTCTCCAGGTGGTCACTGCGGCTGAGCGAAAGGCGATCTTCGAAGAGAACGAGAGAAAGAAGATGCAGCTTCGACGCGAGAGCGAGCAGCGCAAAGAGAAAATGAAAAATCTGCAGCAGACGCAAACGGCGACGAAAGGATCTACACTGGAAAAAGTATGATTTAATTATTAAATACTTTAATCGATATTTAATGTTTGAATTCAGGTTGAATCTGACGCGAAACGAAAAAACATGTATCTGTTGCAAAGGGCGTTCGAAATGCAACAGGAGCAAGAGGATGAGATCAAAAACGTGAACAGCATCATCTTGGCGAGCAAGTGTTTGGCTATTAGAGAAGCGCAGATCGCAGAGAAAAATGTAATATTTAAAAACGTTACCGATTGGAACAACAAATTAATAAGTTCTTCTTTTTGCAGTTAATCAAACGGGAAATCGAGGAAGAGGAGAATCGCTTAGACATGATGATGGAACAGGAACGTCAGAGGGGATTGCTCGAGGAGCAGAAAAAGCGCGACAAAGAAGCGGAACGCACCCAAACGTAAATTTCAACTAAATTTATTCAATTAAATCACATATATGTATATTATTTTGCAGATTCGTCACGCAAATTCAACAGCAAATAAAGGAAATCGAAATACAGAATTTGATAGAGGCGGAACATAAGGAGGAGGAAGCGAGGAACATAAATCTGGCTTTGGTGGCTATGCAGCAGGAGGAAAGGGATCGGCAACGACAGAAGATGGAAAATAGATTGAAGATACGGGCAGATATGAAGCAGGCGAACGACGATATGGAAAATTACAGGGCTTTGCAGAGGGAGGAAGAGCGATTGGCCGATGCTAGGGTACACGATCATTAATTGCTTTTAATTTAATTATTGAAAAAAAAATCAATGTTTTCAGTTGAAAGAATTCATGAAGCAGAAGCATGATCGTGAAGCTGCAATAGAGGCGGAAATAAAGGCGAACAAAGCGGCGAAGGAAAGAGAAATCGCCAGACTCACAGCGACTCAAGCGAAGGCTGCAGATTTGCAAGCGTTGCGTGACGAGATGAACGCTTACCGTGTTCACGAAGAGGCAAGTTTATACTAATAATAAACTAGTATGATTGAAAACATGATGTTTATAGACTGAACGCGAGTGGAGGAAGAAGGAGAAAGAGGGAGCGATTAAGAAGAAGGAGATGCTTGCTCAGTTGAAGAGAGATCGCGAACAGCAAATTGAAGACATAAGGAAGGCTCAAGCAGCGGAATTGGCGAGAGACGAGGAGGAATTCCTTAAAGTAAATTCCAACGAAATGCAATTGAACGAGATGATATATTATGTATGTTATTGCAGGTCGCCCAAATGCAGTACGAGATCTTCGCCAAAGAGCAAGAGAAGCACGCGGAAAAGAAACGTATGGCTAATCAGTACAGGAAGGAGATCTTGAAGCAAGTTAACGAACGCGAGAGCGAACGTATCGACGCGCGAAAAACCAAATTGGAGGAAGGAAACGCTTTGCGTTTAGAAGACGAACTCAGACGTGTGAGGATTAACGATACCCTCGAGAGAAAACTTAGGATCCTGAGGTAAGTGTAACATCATTAAATAATCTTTATTTAAACTACTTTCTGCAAGCAAAACATACTTACTTTATGCATCCAGCACTTGTACAAGTTGATATGTTTTTTTCTTCACTTTGTAGAAGGAACAATGTACCAGAGCAAGCAATCACCGACGTGCAACGTCAAATTAAGACTAGATTATCGAAAACCAAGGCGAAATAATAATTGTGTGTGGGGAGATTCTACAAAATTGCAAAACGAAAACAGAAACAACAACAGTTATTATTATTATTATTGGGGATACTATTCTTGTTTGAGTGAGTAATAAAACTACAAATCATTTTCTTTCAAAAAAAAAAAAAATTGTTTAATAGCACCTTCTGGGTAATTAATCTGGAAAAGAAATGGCTGAAGAGAGAATGCATTGCAATATATGTACATATCATAAATGGTTTAGCTTTTCTTTTTAGCAAAATATTCAGAGAAATCTCAAAATTACCAAAAAATATATATATGTGAAAAATAGATAATAATAATGTAGTTGTTGCGGGGGGGACTGATCCAAGTGAAAGAAGAACGTGACTAAGAATATATAACACAATAATCATGCACAAGTAATAATATCGAAATTTAAAAAAATTATAATAATAATAAAATTGAATTATATAAAATTAATAAGTTGTGATGTCTCTCGAAGACCTGCAACAAGTAATCACAAGTTTTATAAAGATTACTCGTTTCCATTTCGTTAAAATATAAAAACCAAAAATAAATCAAATACGTTATATAAACAGAGAGAGAGAGAGAGAAAACAAAAACAAACGAGAAATAAAAGTAAATTGAGTAAATTAATCAAATCATCGTTGACAACATCATCATATAGAGTAAACATTTGCAGCAGAATCAAGTGGGCATACAATATATGTATAGTAATAATAAAAAGCGGCATTATGATTGGTTGATGCTCTAAATAAGTTGTATATATGCAATCAAATTGTTAATTTATAAAAAAAAATGATGAAACATGTGATATTATTGTTATAAATATAAGAATAATTGTGGGGAACGACGACGACGACAAGTATTAATCATAGATTCATTAATAAGATGAACACAAGAATTCAACACACGCACACAACATATCTCACAATACGTAAGTAAAAAAAAAAAGTATCTAATTGTCAACAAAAAAGAAAAGAAAAAGAAAACAACAACACATAAACATGATTATTTCGATTACCAAAAAACTAAAATTAATTAATAAATAAATATAGCAATTTTGTACACGATTTGCAATACTTTACCTGCGCGAATCAAAGATTTATTGTTTTTAAATGGGAAAAAAACCATGAAAAAAAAATATGTGTATACACCTGCAAGCACAAATACAAAAAACACACGAGTAGACAAGGTAAATATTTATGTTTAATATGTAAAGTGAAATACAGAGCATTCGAATAAATGCGTTTCTTTGTAATACATGAATTAGTTAAATAAAAAAAAAATAATAAAGAAAGTAAGTTATTATTTAATTTGTTTGGGATTGGGGGGGGGGATGGAGGATGTAGACCTCAGAAAAAAAAATCGAAGCAAAGAACGGAACTTCGCAACTGCACAAATTCAAATTTTAAATGTGAAAAATGTACGTAAAGCGATTGAAAGTGATGTAGTTGCGAAATTCTGTTTTGCAGTTGTAACAAGTTTGCGATCAGATCCCTGTTGTTTTTTTTTCGAGTTGGTAAAATACAAAAAGTTGCATCAATCTCTCGGTTAAATGAGCCTTGTTGCTGTTGCTGTTGTTGTCGTTTATATGAAATATATATATAAATATATGCCCTGAACACAAATAAATAAGACGATGATAAATTTAAACCTTACCAAAACACGTATACACAAAAACACACATTTTTCATCATAAATTTCCCCTCCTTACTTTATATATATTTTCTTTTTGAACCTATCTCGCGCGCTGCCTCCTAACATCGAAAGAGAAAATAATGAACAAGAACACAAATAACGGACTAAATATGTATATGCAGTATATGTAAGTAAGTATATTATATAAAATCAATTAAAAAAAAAACCTACTGAAAAAAACATATTTATATGTATGATGTTGATATACTGAAAGTATATAAAAATATATTCGAATAAAGCAAGAGAGTAAAAAATAGTTACACTTATAAATTGGTGATAAATTTCGTTCCTGCAGCTATATTCCTTCTGTTCCATACGTAAATTAATAATAACAGCGCCAAAAAAAAGAGGAGGAAGAACAACAAAAAAAAAGAATTAAAAATAAATCTATAAAGAGGTTGGTATCATATATATAATATATATATTACATAACTATATCAATTAAATTAATATTTATATATTTATATATATAAATATATAAAAAAAAAATAAATACTGAGGTCATTCGGATGGGCCGAACATGTTTTTAACATCAAAAAAATAATAAGCTCACTCTTCAAAGTAAGGACAACAACTGACTGACTTTTTTTTAATTTAATGTCCTTTTTTTAATTTCAGGATTCAGTTTTATTTTTTTTTTTTTTCTTTCTTCTCATAACTTCAATCTTTCTTTTTCATTTTTTCCAAAATAAAAACTTACTCTAAAATTATTAAACCTATTATTTTTATTAATATTATCATTATCATTATTATTGTGTATATATATATTCCATGAACTGAAGGGTTGTGTTTTTTTTTATGTTTGTTTTAATATCGAGTTGTGGGGGGGGGAGAGCAGTTCGACGTAGTTTCTCTCTTATGTGTAAGGGTGGTCGATGGTGAATCCGTTCCGCACTCTTATTATAATTTGTTTTGTTGGACGCTTACTCTTTTTTTTTTATCCCTATATAATATAATTAAATATTTATATTCTTATATAAAATATATATTTATATATTTTTGTTTTTTTGTGGAGATGGGGGATTAGCCTGGGGGGAGGGCGAGAGCACACACATCATACGAAGAGCTTAAAATCTGTAAAGTACACAAAAAAACCAAAAAAAAATAACAAAATCCTCGGATTCGGCAAAATAACCAGAATTATTTAAAAAGTAATATATATAAATAAATAAATATGCCTGAAAACTAACTTCATCTTTGGGGACGTGGTTTAGGAGCGGATTGGTGATGATGTTGTTGTTGTTGGTGCGATTGGTTGGTTCGTACAGGTTTACAATTACACTGTAACACTACAAACTAATTTAATAATGATTATTACTATTGCTTATTCTTCTTGAAATCTATTGAGAATCTAGTGAGTGGTGTTATAGTGTATTTTGAGAAAATAATAAATAAATAATGGCAAATAAACATGAAAATCTAAAGCAGTTATATATATATGTATATATACACACACACACACGACGCATACGTATTTCGTAACGAAATTAATTAACCCAAGTATCGTTGTTTTCTTTTCGCAGACATGTATATATATATAAAAAAAAAATAAACGAGTAAAGGAAAACGACGAACATGTTACGTAATCTATAGGCACATACATAATAATAATACATATCACATACATATCAACAATAGAGAATAAAATCTGTATATGTAGAAATATATAGAACGATTCTTATAACAAGCAGATGTCTTAAGAAAGAGAGAGAGAGAGATATGATAAAAAGAATAGCGATCAAGGTAATTTAATGTTTAAAGAGAGAAAAAAAAAATGTAATTAATACTCACGATTAACTGTTTATTTAAATGAACATGCGGAGAGATCGTCCTTAGTTGTTGTCCTGCTGGGGAGCGGCATTTCCGTACCCGTACCCGGGAAAACTGTACTGACCCCCCTGCGGAACGCCCTGCGGTCCTCCGCCGCTTTGTCCTTGACCTCCGTAATACGAAGCTTCAAACAATACAGTTAATACTCTCTTTCACACACTCTGATTTATATTAAAAGACTTACCTCCTGGTGCTTGATAACTGCTGTACTGTTGTTGATAGCCAGCAGCGCCACCTTGAGCTGATGCTACGGGCATGCCACCTGGCTGTGGACCAGAAGTTTGCGAAGAACCCTACAATATTGATATACAATTAATATACAATTCAATAATAAATAATCATTGCTTTACCTTATTCTTCATTTGAGCTTCGATAGCTTCAGCTTCTTTATGTTTTCCTAAACTGCGATAGTACTCCGCCCATTGAGCACTGTAATCGGGTTGTCCTCCGTTCGCTGCAGCAGGCGCTTGAGCTACAGGCGTCGCAGCTTGACCTGAAGGTGCTGCTTGCTGCATCGTGGGCGGACCTACCTGAGCCCCCGTTTTATTCTTTGCCTAAGAATAACACACATTTATAAGATTAATATCGAATCGATATTATTAATATGTTATGTATAATTACTTGCTGTTCAATCATCTCAGCTTCCCGATGCATACCGAGCGAACGGTAGTACTCTGCCCATTGTAACGAATAATCTGGTTGATTAGAACCTGGTTGGCTCATTTGCACTGGAGTCCCGGCAGGCGGTTGACCTTCGTTGGCGCCCTGTCCTTGACCGCTCCACTGCTGCTGAAAGCCTTGAACGCCCCAACCTTGGGGATTGTAGCCTTGCGGTGCCATTCCCGGGTAGGCCGTCGGTAAACTGTTCGCGCTTCCACCACCGCCGCCACCACCACCGACGGGAACAAAGTTTAATGCCATCTGCACTTTTTCGCTGATGATTCGCTTCGCCATTTCGACTTGTTCGGGATCGCCGCGAATTATGAACGTTTTATCGCCGTTCGGTTGAGCCGGCGATCGCCTATCGAGTTCGCAGTGCGCTCCGGATTGTTGATTTATTTGCTTGATGGTATCACCGCCTACAAATGAAGATATGTTATGAAAAACAACTGAGTAAGATGCAACACCACAAGTTGATATAATTACCGCGTCCGATGATAACACCGCATTTTGAGGCAGGTACCGTAAACGTGACCTCCTGTTGGCCACTCTGCCTTCTGTCTTCCCATCCACCGCTAAAATCATTATTACTGGGTCCACCGTTCCTACTGTTTCCGCTTCTATTGTCATATCTGTCTCTTCCAGATCCTCGAGATCCACCGCCATTTCTACCGCCGCCACCTCCACCGCCTCCGCTGCCACCACCGTTGCCATCGCTATCTCTTCTATGTACACTGTCAATTAATTCTTCTATTCGTTGCCTTGCCTGATGAAAAAGAAGCAAAAACAAAAAGAAGCAATGTAATTAACATGGAACAATTGTTGTATAATAAATTAATTACCTGTTCGACGTTTTGAGGTTTCCCAGAAAGATAACAGCGTCGTTCGCCTGGACCTTCATCTCTGGCTTGTTGGAACTGCACCCTGGCTCCAGTCTCTGCTTGAATTTTTTTAATCATGTCACCTCCTTTCCCTATAACAACACCGACGGCCGCTCGAGGAACAAGTACTTCGACATCGTTACCTCCGTATTCATTGAAACTTTGTCGATCATCTTGTCCGCCTCCGCCGCCACCTCGACCACCGCCTCCTCCTCCTCCTCTTCCGCCACCAGATCCACTGGAACCACCGCCTCCTCCACCTCCTCCGCCGCCACCACCACCACTTCCAGATCCACCTCTACTGTACGCCTGCATTTCTTTTTCGGCAATCAAGTCGTAAACTAACTGCTTAGCGTATTCGACTTTAGACGGATCTCCGCTGATTCTTAATGGTTTCTCCTGCTCTTGATTTGGACCATCCTGAATGACGACCATTTTAGCTCCGCTTCGCTCTTGCAATTGCTTAATAGTTTCACCGCCCTTGCCGATGATCAGGCCAACCTTCGGACCGGGTACCATAATTTCGACGAAATTTCTTCCGCCGTTATTGCTACTCATCGAACCACCACCACCACCAGAATTGTTGCTTACTCCTGTAACAAACGCGAAATGATAACAGAAGCTTAGAAATAGAGCTACGAATTGCACTGAAGCAAGTATTATTATTAATGTTAAAATTAAATGCAGGGATCGAACAGAGGACTGAGGGGTTTGGTTTTTGCATGCTTGGTTGGTTCTCATCACTAGGGGTATGTGTGTGTGTGTCTATACCTGGGAAATTACCCTGTCCTATTCCGGGGCCCAGGTCTAGCCCTGCTAGACCCTCAGACCTGCCCCTTTGGTGTACAATGTTCATTATCAATTCCTTTGCCCTGCCAATGGCATCCCTAGTGCCTGATAATGAACAAATACGTTCAGGCATACCTGCAGAATCAGGGGCCATCTGAATTTTGCATCCTGATTCTGCCTGCAACCTTGTAATTTGTTCACCACCACGTCCTATTACTGCAAATAAAAAGAAAACACCGCATTCGTTAAACACACAAAAACCAGTCATAACTGTAAAAATAAGATAAATTATATTATATAGTTTCACATACTTGAAGAGGTGAAACAACAACATTCTAGAATAAAAAGTATTTTTTGAGAGAGACAAATGTGTAGTAATAATAATAATATGCATGCAAAGGAATATTTGTACTTACTCAATCCAACCATCTTGTCAGGTACTTTAATGTCTTCATTGATCTGCGGTCCCCCTCCCATCGGTGGTGGGCCGCTCATATTGGGACCACCCATGTTACTGGGAGGTTGCCCCGGTCTGCCACCTGCACCCGGAGGTGCAGCTTGTCCTGGAGGCCCTGTGCCTGCCAACTTCTTAGCATCAGGTTCTGAAACGAATGGAACTGAAATGTAATTGAGTTCTAACAAGTAATCGGGGGGCCATAATCCTAGATGTACGTACCTGATGCCTGGCCGTCTTCTAGAGGCCGCTTCTGCCTGCTATCACCGGTGGGATTTGAAGGATTTATTTTGGCGGCAATCTGCAAACAAAACAAAAACACAGTCGCCGTTATATAAATGTGTACAAGTGCATAAATATATGTATATATATATATATATAAAAAAATAAATAATTTCCATTGTCTGCTGATGGATTGGTGGATGGATGGATGGATATGTGCGTGTATCCCGTGTACGTGTGTATGTGTGTGAGTCGGATGTATTAATGCATCATGGACATGGGATTGTATGTGTGTGTGTGTGTGCGTAAGTGAGCGTCCTACAGCGATTGTACCGAAAATATATAATAAAGAAACACTTGCCTGTTTTGCTCTTTGTAAAGCTGCGGCGAAAGCCGTGGATTGATTAAAGTTTTGCTGTGGCGGTGCAACCGCTGAATAGTCACTCATTATGATACATCAGAGAGAAATCACACAAACAGAACTAATGTAACATGGAGTATTCTCACTCGCAACGACAGCGTTTCTCAAGCGCACCAACCAGCAATACCAACGCAACGTCAAACATCGAACCAAACGTTTGATTACACGAGAATTGATGTTCCGAATGAATCCACGCTCTCGCAACTACCATTAATTTACTCGATCGATGATTAATTACAATATTAATGAAGAGATATAAGCTGAATTGCAAATATTATCGTTTAGTTTTTCAATTCCGTTGCATTGGTAGTAAAAAGACGCGGGCGTCACATAGCGTTATTTTACTTGCAATTTATTTCTCATGGCAACGCTGCAATCATAATTTTTGTTTGAAACTAATTCAATATATACATAAATAAAATCAAATTTTCCTTATTTAATCTATAATAAATCCACTTTTCATCCCTTGTTGGAAATCGTTTATAATTGAAACTTTAAATATTTCTTTAACGCAATATATAATTATTGGATTGTTTAATTATTACGGTGATCGGAATGAATTGATATATTTTTGAATCGATTCGAAAGATCGAAAGAGAGGCGGTTGAATGAGATTTGAATGTTGATGGTGAAGTTGGTGAAGTAATTGGCAACGTGTGAAAGGTGCGCGTCGTCAAAAATTTGTTCAGTTGAGTGCGCGCCCCGCCATTTTGGTTCCGTTTCGTATATTTTCAGATGCTCAGCTTCGAGTGTGTTGTTGATCATTTTTCAAATGAACGTGTTTTTTTCGAAAGTACTTTAACGTTCGAATCGCTGAAGAACATCTCGTGATACACAATGACGAAACAGAAGGATTGTCATGGTATAACAGTGTTGTGAGTGTGTGTGTACGAACGCATGGACTATGATGGACTGTTGATGCGGCGACCCGCAAGACGTTTACGGTTTATTTTTTTTTTCGAGCCTTCTCGGACCAACAAGTTTTGTAAATGTAAATAGTTAAAAATCGGTTGAGCATATTCGACAAGGTTTGTAATCATATACATACTTTTTTCCTCTATCTACCACCGCCACAACATATACACACCTACCCCACTAATCAACATCTTCTAACACTTTTTGTCCACTCTGTCGCTGTACCTTGTGTTTATGGCTGAATGTTTGTTTGATTTATTTCCCCAACTCATATTCTAGGTTATATATCCTACCGTTTACGAAATTCAATATTAACAATTCAATGGTATTCCCAATATCTTATAAGCTTAGATTTAAACAAGTTACATATGATTATACAAATTACTTAATTCTGCCTATTGCACTATACAACATGATTGTTATTGTATGTTATATTTGTTCTTTATTGGCAGATTAAATAAGAAACATGTCGGAAATAGTGTATCCTCCGGGCTGTAGGCCTATAATGGAGGATCTCGGAGCCGATGAACTGATCAGGAGATTGAAAACACTGGCTCATACATTGCAAGCGATGGGTCAAGACGAGGGTGCCTATCAGCAATACATACCGTTGGCGTTGCACTTGGCAGAGGATCAATTCTTGTGCCACGCTTCTAGAGATGTGCAATTATTGATTGCATGTTGTATTGCTGATGTTCTAAGAGTGTATGCTCCTGAGGCCCCGTACAAGGACACGGATCAAGTGAAGACAATCTTCCTGTTCCTCATAACACAACTGTCGGGTCTGAAAGATCCGAAAGATGCAGCCTTCAAGAGATACTTTTATTTGCTTGAGAACTTAGCCTACGTAAAATCGTTCAACATGTGTTTCGAGCTGGAAGATTGCCAGGAGATTTTCTGCGCGCTGTTCCATTTGATGTTCAAGATAGTTAACGACGAACATTCGGGTCGCGTCAAGAGTTTCATGCTGGATGTACTGTGCCCGCTGATAACGGAGAGTGATATGGTTAGTAACGAATTGTTGGATATTATCCTGTTGAACATTGTGGAACCCAACAAGACGCAACGCAAGAACGCTTATCTGCTTGCGAAGGAGTTGATTGTTAAAACGTCCGATACTTTGGAGCCTTACATACAGGGCTTCTTCAATCAAGTTCTCATCATCGGCAAGGAAGACAAAGCGCTGCAGATTTGCGGAAAAGTGTACGATTTGATGTACGAATTGAATCACATTTGTCCGCAAATATTGGTCGCCGTATTGCCGCAGTTGGAGTGCAAGCTGAAGAGTCCGTTGCAGAACGAACGTCTCGGAGCTGTGGCACTGTTGGCGCGTATGTTCAGCGAAAAAGATTCTGAATTGGCCAGGAAGCACACCGCTCTCTGGAGGGCATTCCTGGGAAGATTCAACGACATCGCAGTGTCGATACGCATCAAATGTGTTCAATACTCTATGCACTTTTTACTGAACCATCCGTATCTTCGTAAAGATATCACGGAAACGCTGAAGATGCGCCAGCACGACGCAGAGGAGAATGTCCGATACGAAGTCGTGATGGCGATCGTGACGACGGCGAGACGCGACTTTCAAGTGGTTTCCGATTCCGAGGATCTATTGGAATTCGTCAAAGAGCGAACACTCGACAAGAAGTTTAAAATCAGAAAGGAAGCGATGTCGGGCTTAGCTATGATTTATAGGAAACACTTGAGTGATCCAGACGTTCCGAATGCCACGAAGAAAGCTGTAACGTGGATCAAGGATAAAATACTTAATGGCTACTACATGGCGGGAATGGAAGACAGACTGTTGGTAGAAAGATTACTTAACACCTGTCTCGTTCCGTATCAATTGCCTGCCGTCGAAAGGATGAAGAAGCTCTATCATTTGCTTGGCACGGTCGACGAGCACGCGACGAAAGCTTTCATGGAACTGCAGAAGAATCAGCTGTGCGTTAGGAAATTAGTTTTGGAATGGCTGGACTTGATAAAGCGCGTTCAAACGCCGGAATCGCAGAAAGATTGTAACGCGAAGGTTAACGCTCTGTCGCGATGCTTACCGGAACCAGTGAAAGCGCACGAGTTTTTGACCAAATTCAGTAGTCATCTGCGAAAAGATTCGGTTCTGCTGGAATCGATGGAAACGGTGGCACGACCGTCCGTCTCCTGTCCAGAGTGTTCGGATGCAACCGCTGCCGTTTTAAAGAAACTCGGACAACCAGTGATGACTAATTTATATTATAACACTGTGAAAATGTTGTTGGAACGTGTCAGCAGCGTGATGGTGGATCATCAGGCCATCAAGTTACTCGTCGGCTACGTTGACGACTGTCTACGTGGCGGAAATACAATTGAAGAAGTTGGATTGCATCCGGCCACTGCCGGCGATCGGGGACTCAAACTTCTGGTGATGCTGAGTTTCGTGTTTCCATCGCATTTTCACCACGAAGACGTTTTAGAGCAACTGATAGAAATAGTTCAATTAGAAGATGAGAACATTGCACCGTTGGTTCTCTCGATCTTCATATTCTTGGGAAAATACAAATGTCTCTGTAAGTACAACAAATATCAAAAACAAATACAGAAATGTTTGTTATATCACAGTTACGTTTATGTTTGCAGATGACGATTTCCCTAATCTTATGGATCAATTGTCGCCTATATGTAAGAGTTTCGCCGAGTATGGAACACCTAAGCAAGCCAAGGGAGCAATACGTTGTATTTTTGTAAATATGCCCTTACTTCATGAATCCCTATTCCCAGCCATACTGGAAACTGCAAAGATAAACCTGGAATCGAGCAGTCCTCATTACCGAACTGCAATTGTCTCGCTTGGCCACATCGCATATAACATACCGGAGAAATGCAAAGTCCAAATCAAAAATATCGTATCCAGAAAGGTAATAAGACTTAAAATTATTGTTTTCGATTTGTTGTATTTAATGGATTTTTAATGTTTTGCAGATCGTGAAAGAATTGTTGGTGAAAGACGTGAAGGAAGGTGAAGAGTCGATGGACCAGGAAACTTGGTGCGCAGAAGAAGATTTACCAGAGGAAACTCGGTGTAAAATCGAAGGTCTGAAGGCTATGGCACGTTGGTTGCTCGGTTTGAAGCAAGACATTCAATCCGCGCAGAAGACGTTCAGAATGTTGAACGCCTTTATCTTGCATAAAGGTGATTTATTGCAATCTGGCCGTTTGTCGCCTGCCGAGATGTCGTGGTTACGTCTGTCGGCCGGATGCGCGATGTTGAAGGTGTGCGAGCAGAAGGGTGTCGGTGATCAATACACCGCCGATCAATTCTACAATTTGTCCACGCTGATGGTGGACGAAGTGAAACAAGTTAGAGAACTGTTCGCAGCCAAACTGCACAAAGGTTTGGGTCGCGGTCTACCCAACAAGTGCCTACCTCTAGATTTCATGGGATACTACGCGCTCAGCGGCAAAGAAACCGATTCCAAAGTGCGAACGACCATCAAGAACTACATGATCGCCGACATCAACAAGAGGCGAGACTACGTTAAGAGTTTAACGATGGGCAGCGGTCAGATGGACAAGGCCATGAGTCAACTGCCACACATATTACCTGATTACATGCTAGTATTTGCGGTGCCAGTTCTTGCTCATGACCCCGGTCTGTCGAGATGGGACGATGTCTCGGATTTGGTGAAAGCCCGCCAATGTCTTTGGTTCATACTGGAGCCGCTCGTGACGAAAAGTGATTATTTCAGTTACGGATTTTACAAAAACCTAATCGAAAGAATGAAAAACCATAAAGACGCTCTCAGACCAGACGACGATTCGATCAATTACGTAACTATTATATCACAAAGTTATTGAACAATATAATTAACAAAATCATTTTGTTTTTTGTTTTTCAGAAAATTTGGGCACTCTGCGATCTTGCGTCCGGTCTATTACTTACGAAAACATCTAATTACGATCTGAAAGATTTCCCAGCCGAGACGCGGATACCGGCGATGCATTTTCATCCGCAGGCGGACTTTGTAAATAATCGGGTGTTCCTGCCGCCCGAACTGCAGTATCAGCCCAACAAGAAAACGGGAATAACGCTAGCGATGATCAACTCGGAAAGGCCAAAGAAGCCCAAGGGAAAAGCGAAACCGGAACCGTGCGGTCCCCTCGGCACAGACGTTCCCGTAAGTACTACAACATTATTATCATTATCAACATCATCATCATTTTTATTTGTCAATGCTTCGATTCTTCTTCTCTCCTCCTCTTTATCTATAATTCTATAATAATAATAATAATGGTGCATTTATGTAATTGTTCCGCATTTCTTTTATATTAATGCAGCCTGTCGCTGTCAATAAAGGAATTGATGCCCAGGTATGTGATATTTTTTTAAGAACGAACATTTATTCAATAATTTATCGAAATTTTCTTTCAATTTATAGTTTTCATTATTATCTAATATTACGAGTTCAAAATTCTCTATTGCTCTGCTTTCATGACTGGATATTAATAAATGAAACACTTTCAAACGTGTACTACAATAGTTATTACTTACTAGTTGTAAAAGATAAGAGAGTAGATGTTTGATTTGCGAAGAATTTGCATTCAGATTGTGTCAATGGCATAACTTTATTTATTTTGCAGAAATTCGCTCAAATTATTTGAAAATATATATGTGATTGCTTAGTAGCTGTAGATTTTTGTTTTGTTTTTTTTGTGTGTTCGTGCGTGATTTTAATTGTACTAATTTTCGTCTTTTATTGTTGTTTGCAGCCGTCGGAGGCGTCGGAGACGAAAATTCAGTTGCCCGGATTGGAGGACATCGATGAGCCGCCAGCGAAACGGCTGAGAGAACGCATAAAAGTGGACATAGACAAGTGACACGCTTCCCTCATGTACATATACGATAAATTGAGAGAGAAAACACCAGCAAAATAATAATTATAATAAAGAGAAAGAAAGAGAGAGAGTGCGATCTCCTTCATTTTTTTAAAAACTATTATTAATAACATTATTATGTTTTAGTGTATTATATATATAAGTTTGGTATGAGAAGGAGAGGAGTAAAAATAGAAAGAAAGAAAGAAAGAAAGATGTAATTTCCGAAGTTTTATATCGACTAACAAACAATATATATATGTATATTGATTGTAACACGTTTCATCTGTATAATGTCTTTCGGTTTTATCATTCAATTGAATTGAACAACAGCAACAATATACACGTACATATATAAATATTATTATTTCTATTTTTTTTTTCAATTACGAATTATTACTGCAAACACCAAAAAAAGTAATGAAACTGAAAGGAAGAGAAGAGAAGGCGTTGGACGTTTAATTTAACCTTTGACACGTGTCCATAAACAAAATAGACTAAGAGATTTAATGACTTTGAGCTGTCAAACGATTATTGTTTCATATTATTATTATTATTTTGAAATTGAAATTATTTAATATTATAGTTAATCTAGCTGATATGAATGATGATGAGAGGCGAAGTAATTTTTTATAGATAAAGATTCAAGTATTAAATTGCATAAATACTTTACAAACTATTATTATTATCATGTATGTCGTGGAGGCAATGCAATAACTCTTTTGTTTTCTTTTGTTTTTTTCTTCAATTTAATATATTTGTTCTTCATTATTTTTTTTCTTCTCTTTACAAATGTATACTTGAATAAAACTTAAGGGAAAAAAAATATATTTATATATATGATAATAGAGGTAAATTCTCCTTACACATTGCCTCCTACAACTGAAATGCAAGTCTCCTCTATACATATATTATTTCATTTTTTTTGTATTTCTTCTAACTTACATCATCCACCGTTGTTTGTTCAGGAAATCAATACTAATTTTCGTTTGTTTCCTTCGTTGTAAATATCGATCTTTAATGATTATAATTGTTAAGACGTGTGGGGTACATAATATTAGTTTATTTAAAACTCTTTATAAATTTCTATTTCTTTTGTGAATGAAACGATTTGTAACGTCTCAAATTTCGAATACTGTTTGTTTTTTTATTTTATTTTATAGTAATTATCGATGCAGAGAAATCGCATCGAGTTTTTGAATATACACTTTTTTTTTTTATCTAAAAAAGCGAGATCGTAATTTCCAATTGTTTTGGAGATCGTTTTGTTGTTATTTGTACTAGTTAGTACACATAAATATCATGTGATAAAGGACAAGTCCGGTGCCCTTATTATTATCTAAATATGATAATCGAAGAGCTCGTAAGATTTTCTTTTGTTTTATTTATTTATATATATATAGAAATGTATTAACAATTTGTTTGTTTCTCTAAAAAAGTAACAACTTTTAAATGCTTCTATAGAAAAAAAAAACAGTATATATATATGAAAAATATAGCAATTTCGGTGCGACCACCATCACCTTCTTCCATCTTACAAGACGTGTGCATCTTTCATTAATCAATTAGATAAGGGCTGTCCAGTGCACCCAAACCAGCTGCGACACCGCCCTCGTCGGCCGTCGATATTTTTGTCCTCAACATATGTCCCACTTGCGTATTAGCGAATATTTTTGATGAATCCCTATTAAAAAAAAAAGAATTATATTTTATAAGAATAAACCAAAAAAAAAAACATTATATATATATACCCAATGATGAGTCCGAATATTCCCAACTCTGAGACGAGATCGACCAGTTCGGGAACCTCCGGCCCGCCCGGTCTGATCATGTAACTCTTCGAAACGGGCGGATTTATTCGCTCCATCAAGATCCAAGCGGTCCTCTCCTTGCTGTCCTTCATCTTGTACACGGCCTCGCGCACGTTCTGACCGTACACGTTGTTTCCGCCGCCTTCTCTCTGCGGTTTCAAAACGAATCTTCAAAAAAAAAACAAGTTAATAACTTGAGAATGAACTCGAATTTTCTTAATAAGTTACCTTTCGGGTGAATCCAAAGCCATCTGGACACCCTGATCTCCGAATTCATCGAAATCCAAGCTGTACAAACCAGTGAAAACTTCCTTCACCGATTCGATCTTGCTGGCCTCGGTCAAGAACATCTCGACGGTGCCGCCTTTCGCCAACTCCTGCTGCACCTTCTTCGTGCCAGCCAAGTGGTATTGAATCGATGGACATTTGATCGCCTGCGAACGTTCCATCAGCAACCTGGCGTCCCATTCCTTCTTGGAATGATAGTGGGCCGGTTCGTATCCGGCACGGAAATATATCACAGCCACCTCGTCCCTATCTCTGCAAACGAACATTTGATTCAAAACAAATAATAATATTGAGAATGTGCACACGTACACGAGCAACTCGTTTTCCGAGCCCAATTTACCCTCGTGCGCGATCTGCGTCAACGTCTTCCTGACGACGCGCACGTCCGGATTCATCCTGCGAATCTCGAACTCGTGGAAGCGTTGATCGCAGATGTTGTAAGTCACATCTTCGACGACGAACATGATGACCGCTTCCTCTTTCCCGTAAATTTTGTACGCCTCCAGCATACCGCCGCACAGTCCTTGAAGAGCCCCATTTTCTGGCAACTGCAACAAAACCAAATTAATAATACACTAAAACTGCGAGATAAAACGAAACTTACGTTAACCAGTTTATCCCTGTACCCTAACTCCTGAAGGACATACCTAAAACACATCGCACGGATAAATAATCGATTAAGAACCAATAATTACAATGTCGATGAAATGAAGCGTTTCCCCAGAAAATTGAACGATTGTTTTATTATGATTGGAAAGAAGATTCGGAAATCGTAGAAGATGTGAAAAATCAAAGGAGAATTCGAGAGAAGCGGATAAATTTACTAATTAATTAAATTAATTAATTAATGCAATGTGTGTTTGTTTCGCAATGTATTTGTTAATTTAGCATGCCAAAAAAAATAAATAATAAGTTTTCATTCTTGGGGGACAATGTAAATATATATTGATCATACCTATTGAATTTACGAATTAATATTGAAATTCCCCCAAAACTGGAGGCGATTGTGTTTATTTCCACCTGCTTTATTTTGTTGCCGGCGTTACAGTGCACCATGTAATCGGAGCGCAGTAAACCCAGAGATACTCGCTGCAAAAAAATTAATAACAAACACACTCTCATGCAGCAACCAGGAGAAGAAATTCATAATAATACAACAAAAAAAAATAATTAATCAATTTTCAATCATAATTTCACTTTCGTTTAGCATGCATATAGTAGTGGTATAAGTGGGTAGATCCGGGGGCTTAGGTTTTTTTTTTGTTTTTTGTTTATTCATTTACTTTTTCCTGTTCTAACAGATTAAATAGAAAGAGGAAAAAAAAAAGACAGAAAGAAAGAAAATAGAAAAACCAGTTAATAGCGTTTTATAGAGAGAATGATTATTGTACAATATAAGAACAAATATGAATAGAAATCGCGTAAATTTAAATTATTGTTGAACGTTTCTTTTGAGTATTAATTATTTGTTTGTTGGAAAAGGAGTAGAAATATATAAAAGAAAGCCATAGAAATCACCTCTGGATGATAGCCGATGCGGGACCGAGCCAACCAAACCCGGAGGCTATACAATTGAATTCCACCTGCTTCCAGCAGCAGTAAGGACTTCGACGCCTACAGCTCTTCCCCGGCGTCGTGCAACGCGATTCCAACATCAAATCAGACCGAAGCAAACCGAGGGATATTGGCTAGATAGAAAGATGAGGGAAACAACACAAATCACACACAAACTCTTCTAATACCATCTACCAAGAATATTAGTTACCAAAATAATCATCATCGACTGGCTCACTTTACACAAACAAACTCAAATTATCAACAACAACAACAAAAACACGTACATATTCTTCAGAGCAAATCCAATACTTTTGATATCGATAAACTAATTTGAGTTTGTTTCCACAAAGATTCCAATCGTATTAATTTCAATTCCATTGGCTGCTGCTGGAAGTGTGTGCTCATTTTTTTTAAATAACTCAGTCCCTATCAAAAGATTTAAACCGTAACCACCCCACACACACAACACTGCTTGCAAAGTTACGTCAAAAACATATATATATATATTTATATATATATATACGAATTTGTAATTGAAAACTGATTACAAATAAGAAAAAGTTACCTGTGTGATGCCCTCATCGTGAACAGTCTCATAAATCTTAAACAAATTCCCGGTGAACTCATCAGCCTGCACTGTATCCTTCAAGCAGTGCGTCAGGAACTGTCGATTATGTGCGACCTTGTGCATCAGCTCATTCAAGGTGGTCTGTATCTGGACAGCCCTCTCGAATTCCTTCCGAGGGAACGCAGATGGTGTCAGGATGAATGGGGCAAAGCTCAACGTGTCAGGATTGTAATTATTCTTTGGTCTCATGGCTGCCCCGTGCATCAGGGCCCAGTCCTTGGCCTTCTCCACGATATCCTTCAGCTGATCCCTCGGGATGGGCAAGGGAATTGCACTTGGTAACTGGTTTTCCATCTCCACAGAGGCCATCGTCGTTAAACACTGTAAATTTTCGTTCGTGAATTTGTTGTGAATCACATGATTCGATTTAGAGCCACATCAAATATTAGGCAAGCAATTACACAAGCAGAGAAAAAAAAATTTATATAAACAAAAGTCAAAAACGAGATGTGACATTTCTTGTTTGTTGTTTTGGTTTGTTGTTGCCACATACTAACATAAAACTTACGAATGGGGAAAATGTTGAACGGATTGATATAGTTTTTTATAGGAAACCAAAACAAATCATAAAGAAAATCTAAAGAAACGGCTAATAATGATTTTTCAATTTCCCAAACATGATTAGCGTAGTTGCTTCCGGCACTTGCGCAAACCTTACGCAACCCTACATTTTCACATCATTCCTCATATGAACAAATGTAATTTTGAGACTCAATTTCCTTTTGCTCGTTAAGCGAGGTTCCACTGTATAATTACAAAATTATTATTATTATTATTTTGATGTGGTTTTGTTTTATACAGTGGCGTGCGTCTGGGGTCTCTTAAATTAAGGGGACCTCAAATCTTGAAATTGGGGCCCACCATGGGACAAACTTAATGCGACCGTTCCGAAAAAAAAAAACAGGAAATATCATCATTTTTAACTTAAAAAATATTTCAAAATGGAAATAAATTGCGTTTGACGTGGGGTCTAACAAAAGTTCGCTTGGGTGGCTTGGAAAAAAAAACAAAAAAAAAATAAACAAATTTTATTTTCATTCTGTTGTAATTTCTCAACATAATTTGTGCAAGAAAGTTGTTGATTACTTCGGTAGTGTGAGTGGGCGCAATTATCATGGTGCAAAAAGTAGCGATGAAGTTCCCTTTTTCTCTGGATTCCCAAGAAATTATTGAAAACTTGTGGTAAGCAATTTTCTGTATACCACTTAGTAGTTTTTTTTTCTTTTTTCGACTGTTTCTTCCCACTAGGAAGAGCCTCTTCCATTTAGCTGCATTACGCCAATCGCAATCTGTATTGTAGTGGAAGTATCAATACAAAATTGGCTAAAGCCTTAAGAATTTCTGGACGATTTTGCGCCAAAGGAGAGTTTATGGATGTTGGCAACTGTATGTTCATTGAAGAGATGATGGACAGTAGATGTCTTGTAGAAGCTGCATTGTTTGGACATCCATACAGGACGTGGTTGCTATCTCTCCACAGGAGCAGAGATCGGTGATAGATAGTCCAACTCTATGAAGGTGGATTGGAGCGAGGGAGCGTCAAGAACGGAGTCCAGTGGGATAGCAGCTACCACTTTTGCCCTGGTAAAGTAAATTGACACCATCACTTTTGTTGCTGATTTTTGTGTTCTTGCTGTAACTGTGGAGGGATTTGCACCTTCTGCGCTCCTTATCATGGACTACAGTTTGGTTTCCGGATCGTACTTATAGAACCAAGATTCATCACCTGTTACTATTTTCCTAAAGATGCTAGACTCTCCATTTTCAAATTTCTCTAAGAAACACCTGCCTTTTTTTCGGTCGTCATTTAAAATTCATGAAACCCATCTTGCGGATTTCTTCGTCTAGTCCAAGTGATGACTTAATATTCTCGACACAGCCATGGCATTCAAGCTACATTTGTGTCTTCGATTGAAGACCATCACGAGATTCGTCTTCAACAGAAAAATGCCCGGTTTGGAATCTTCGAAACACTTGGAAATGGTTATAAGAGATATGGTGCATTCACTCCATTTTCATTTTGAGCATTCCTGGAAAATTTGCATAGACTTAAGTTGACGTCGAAATCAGGTGGAATTTCTATCAATTTTACAATACTAATCTTTGCATTTTCTCCTATCCATTCGTACCGATCTTCATGAAATTTCACATGAAATATCGTTAGACTTTAACAAATTGAGAAACAACTTTTGTTTTTCAAAAACAGTTGTCTTTCTATTTTCTTTTTATATTTGTATCTGACAAGTTCAACTTATTGCTAAAACTATGTGATATTAGTACGTTTCCTACTAGATCTTACTAGAATCCTATTGCAAGTGTAATAGTCCTATTTAAAGTGTAATTGTATTGCCGGATGCCGCCGGTTGCTAGATGTGTGTGTAAGCATCAGGAGGAGGGTGGAGCCAGGTGGAGCGTTTGTGCAACAGATGTCGTAGTTCTGGCATGGGCCGTGAGTCGTCCTGGTACTGACGTCACCGATCGGGGTCCACAGTCGTTATAGCAAGGACACGACGGTGATTCGCGCACCGCACCCAGTGCTACGAACGGGACGATACGTACGAAATCGGGCGTCGGGGTGCTGCAAACCTACATACGTGCATATATACAGACGCCAGAATATTATATACGGAAAAGGAGACAAGGAGAGAAAGACAGAGAGAGAGAGATAGATACAGACAGAGACGTAAAGAAGGGAGAAGAAGAGAGAGTAGGACGCCGCGCGAAGGGATTAGATAAGCACATATATACATATTGTAGTAAACCGAAGTCGTTGGGACCGACCGGGAAGCAATTGTTTGTCGTGCGTGCAACGGACTGTATCCAAGGCGACTCTCCTCGAGTGGTTCGACTTGAAGCCCGAAGGCGAAGGAAGGAAGAAGAAGAAGGGTGCTTGGGTGGTGCTACAGAGAGAGCGAAAGTGAAACGAACGAACGAGTGAGAAGAGCGACGAGATCCATCCATCCGTTCGTTTTGTCATTGCTGGCGCGCCGATAACCGCACGATATCCGCGAGCCCTGGGGTTGCATTCATGTTAATCAATTGGGGAGTGTGCCAGTCGTCGTCGTATGCCAGTGCCTGTCGAATGTGTTCGTGATTTTCTTAGGTAGTCCTAGGGGGTAGAGAAGGTTTTTTTTTGTTTGGCAGGCCTGGAGTGAGAAGCGACAGCGGCGCGAGAGAGGTTGTGTGGCGGTGGAGGCAGGCAGGCAGGCAAGCAGCAAGACAGACCGACGAACGGAACGGACGGACGGAAAGAGACGGGATTTTGTTTTTGATCGCGGCGTCGGCATTTTGTTATCTGTTATTAATTAAGGAAGGTAAGTGGCAGTAGGATCACCGATCCTCCATCCTCCCCCGTAACCCCAATTCCCCCAAAGAGTGAGTGAGAGAGAGAGAGCAGGAAACGCCGAACCCATAGAGTGAGAGCAGGTGCAGCGGATTACAAGCGCAACATGGCGGCATTTGCTGCTATCTGTCAATCCCCCCAGATCCCGACCCGCCGCCGCCGCCTCCGTCACCGCTCTTCCTTTCACCCTCTTCCCCCAAAGGACGGAAGGTAGTAGTACTGCTCCCTCTCGAAGAACCCAGCCCTCATTCAACCACCACCGGTGGTGCAGCCCTTCCCCTACGACGACTACTACTCTCCGAACTCCTCCAACTAACATACTCACACACACACCTATTGTTTATAAATGAGAAAACGCACTCACACACTTACGCAGATACTCTCATCATAAGCGGGGCGTCAGCGTAGGTGTGTCTCGCGCGATATCCCAAAACATGCACTCGTTTCGAAAAGCGGGAAATTCGAATAAGAGAGTTCACGCACCCATTTAATTTCTTCCTCCCTGTATGCATGCATGCAGATAGTTTCCCAACTCTACATCAATTCCACTGCATATACAACCACACTCACCGCCGCGTATATTGTTCAATTATTGATTGCGCCCCCCATAAGAAACTCTTACTACACCAGTTGCATATTGATTCGCCGAAATCCAATTTACTCCCACGAACACGGCAAAAGCCGACTTGGATCGCGCCGCATTCAACATGCAACATTATATACATATACATATATATATTTTCCATACATTTTCCACCCACCGAAACCTCCCTCCCCCCAACCCGCGTTCACGAATTCGCCACACCACAAATTCATTAAATCAATTGTTATTTAAATGTGCGGATTTTATAGCTTGCAGCAATCACGAACTGAGATATTGATTGCTCGCTTCCATTCAATGCGTTTTCCACATATAGAAAGCTAATTTCATATTTATGCACATACACACACACATACACATCAGCAGACTGCATTTATTGAAGTCATACAACGGACACGAGCCTTGCGAAACAGAATGTCTGATTAGACGCAGTGCATTCATACATATCACTCCAGTTACATTACACAGGGTTAGTTGCTTTTTATTTCATAGCCACCCACTAACAGAAAACAAAATAAATAAAAGCGCCGAATACGCCCCTGCATTCTCTTATGCTTAATTAATATATCAATAATCTCTCTCTCTGTCTCTCTCTCTCTCTCTCTCGATTAATAAGATGTGTTAATGTGTTACGTTTTATCAGTTTATTCTGTTTTTTCAAAAATATATTCACTCAATCTAAATCTTCAGCAAAACAATCAATAGTTATTAAGTTTATCAAAGATCAGAAGCTCTTCATAAGAATATTAACGAATTATGTTTATGTGTGTTATTATTGAGTTTTGTAAATTGAAATTTAAGCTTTATAGTGGATTCTAGTAAATCTTATCAGTTGTTTGCGTTTTTCTAGAGCAAATATTTGTTCGTGGTTTATAAATCTTTTCGCTACCGCTGCACGCTCGAAACGAACTTGTTGTACAAATTTAAATCCACTTTATATAATAATAAAAATCAACGATGCAATAGGATTCTACTGTGAAATATTTTTACACCTAATACTAATTGGTACTAATCATCTCCAACAAGTCCCCCCCCCTCTCAAGGATGTATATTTTCCATTAAGAAATGTTTGAAAACGTCGGAAACAATGGAAGAATCTCGAAGGAACTGATTCACAGGATGTGTCGTGCGCGCTTAAGTTTTTTTTTATCGCCTCAATAATTCTATTTACATTTAATTTGTATACTTTATCACTGGTTTCGCGGTTTCCCTAACATGTACATGTACAATCGTGCACAAGAAACAATTGTATGTTAATGGGGAATGCTGGCGATTTGGTGCTTAATTGAAAATGGAATGCTGCGTACGTACGTTCTTTGCAAACGATAATATCAATAATATACATACACACACACACACAACAAAAAAAAAGAATTAAACGAAAAACAAGTCATCATTAAGTGTTTCATTTTATAAATAAATATATTTCTCGATAGATAAGCGTGAAATATTTTGTTGATAACGTAACGTTGCACGGACGGAATCGTTTTTAGAGCCACGAAGCGAAACACAGACGATACGATACACAACCCGCTCTATATTTATATTTATATGATTATTATTATTATTTGCATTGTTTAATCGAGTAAGAATTTTCTATTATTACTTAATAACTGATATTGGAATAGTAGTGGGCTGTGTGTTATGTGTGTGTAAAGTGAAAAACTAGGCGTTGCCAACCCCCCCAAGGAGAGATGGGCGGAATTCTGTTTCGTTCAATCCACACGATTTTCCTTCTTCCTCGTTGCGGTTTTTGCGCTCGCAAGCTCTCTGTACGAGTGCACTTTGATTAAGGCTAATTGACTTTTATTGCTCGTTTATGAATGAAGGACGTGTGTGTATGTGTATTGTGTGAGATGGTTACGCGAATGATATTCCCAAACCCTGTTTTTCAGTTCCTCCACACAATAATATCGTAACCCGAATGCATTTATATTATGATGATGATGATTTGCTTCAATAACTTTGTTCTGTTGTTGTTGTTTCAGGTGTTGCATTTTAGTGCGCCGCGTGCAGCAGTATGAACGAACTGGACTCATTAAGACAGGAAGCGGAAACTTTAAAAAATGCTATTAGAGTGAGTATTATGCGTAAGCGAATATCTGTATTTTGTTTCTGTGTGTCTCTGCGAAAATGGATTTCGATTCGTGTTTTCTTTGTGTGTGTGTGTGTGTGTGTGTGTGTGTGTGTGTATCTATGCGAGTGTACGTGTGGTGAACGCGAAAGGGGGGCGGCGGCCGCCCCCGGATCAATAAAGACCTACACACTCGCCCTTTGCTGCCTGCCGTTGCTGCTGCACAGGGTGCGTGCGGCAGTTGCGCCACGTTTACGCACTACCTATCATCATCGTTAATTCAACATATCACATTGAAATCTCCGAGTATAACCGACGACGATGATCATTATGGTTTTCAGCAAATGTCAGGCAGAGTTTGGATCTTTATGTTTTGATTGATTGAATGAATGAATTAGATTAATCGATGTTCAGATAATGACAATTTGTGGTTATGGTTTTAGGATGCTCGCAAAGCGGCGTGCGATACATCGCTGGTGCAGGCGACGGCGAGCCTCGAACCCATCGGAAGGGTGCAGATGCGGACCAGGAGGACGTTGCGTGGTCATCTTGCGAAGATCTACGCGATGCACTGGGGCTCCGATTCCAGAAACTTGGTTTCCGCCTCACAGGATGGTAAGCTGATCGTATGGGACAGCCACACAACCAACAAGGTGCATGCCATTCCGTTGCGTTCCTCTTGGGTGATGACCTGCGCTTACGCCCCGTCCGGCAGTTACGTTGCCTGCGGTGGACTCGACAACATTTGCTCCATATACAGCCTGAAGACCAGGGAGGGCAACGTTCGCGTCTCTCGTGAACTACCCGGACACACCGGCTACTTGTCCTGCTGTAGATTCCTCGACGATAACCAAATTGTTACTAGTTCCGGCGACATGAGCTGGTAATATATATCTCTTACAATCAGACGATTGTCTATCCATCAAGTTGCAAGAGAGTTCTAATGAATTCCTCCTTCTTCTTCTTCTCGAATCGCAGTGCCCTCTGGGACATCGAAACCGGACAACAGACGACGTCCTTCTTGGGCCATACCGGTGACGTGATGAGTTTATCCTTGTCCCCGGATATGCGTACTTTCGTTTCCGGCGCCTGCGACGCCTCCGCGAAACTCTGGGATATCAGGGAGGGTCTCTGCAAGCAAACTTTCCCGGGACACGAATCCGACATTAACGCTGTTACGGTAAGATTTCAGCAAGATTCTCATGCGACAGCATTTATTTATTTATTTATTTCATGTTTGCTTCGCAGTTCTTCCCTAACGGCTACGCATTCGCAACGGGTAGCGACGACGCCACGTGCAGACTTTTCGATGTTCGCGCTGACCAAGAATTGGCCATGTACAGCCATGATAACATCATTTGCGGCATCACCAGTGTCGCCTTCAGCAAATCTGGTCGTCTTCTTTTGGCCGGCTACGATGATTTCAACTGCAACGTTTGGGACTCTATGAAAACCGAAAGAGCAGGTAAGATCACAACTATTCAATAATTCATCAATACAACAAGTGTCGAAAATTCTTAGACGTACGACTTGACATGATTTAGTCACACACACAACGTGTTTCTATATATAGCCTCTCAAGGCTGTTGGAAGCACCCTCTGGTGGAATCCGTGTCAACATAAATATATCGTTTATTGCTGCTATAAAGGTTATTTAATTTCAATAATAGTGGAAACTATTTTGAATAACAGTTGATTAATGTTTTATGGTTTTACAATCATGTAAATATATACACAGACTACTACTATTATACATTTATTGGTTTTCAAATTATCGTATTACAACAAGCAATAAAACTTCTGAAGTATTGGGAAAAGAAATAGTCGTCATGGAAACTCTAGTAGTTATCACTTGGTTTATCAATGTTTGAAAAAGAAAATGTAGTATTCATAATTTTGCTTAAGTGTATTGTTTGTACAAAAAGTATTATATTGCAATGAATAATCATGTTCTTCTGTTCTATTTTCAGGTATTTTAGCTGGTCATGACAATCGCGTGAGTTGTCTCGGCGTGACAGAAAACGGGATGGCAGTCGGGACAGGTTCGTGGGACAGTTTCTTGCGCATATGGAACTAAGACACAGTGTTGCCAAAAAAAAACAAAAAGAAGTAATATAAAAGAAAAAAAAAATACAAAAATATGATAACATACCAAATTTAAAACAGCAGGAAGAAGAAAAAAACAAAATAATATATAACGAAAATAAAGCAAATTTACTACTGCAGTCACACAGATTTCAAAAAAAAAAACTACTTGAACTACGTACAACAAAAAAAAATTAAATTAAAAAAAAAATACCAAGTAATGGGAAATACGTCGTGTCGGCTCTGTACACATCACATGCGCAAAATTATTATTTTTTTATTTGTTACTTTTGTTTTTAAATAATTTTCTACACCAACTGTCTCCTTCGTCGTTTAATTAACAAACAAACAAACAAAAAAAACACGTGAAAGTTCCGAACAATTGCGCGCGTATAATTTAAGCGAGTCGTGTTTATTATTATTATTATTTTTTTTTCTTAGTATCCCCCAAAAAAAAAGTAATTTTTACCCTTTTAATAATTTTATTTTATTATTATTATTATTATTTGTGTCATATATTATTATTATTATTATTATATTTTATTCATAGCTTGTTTTGTTTTTTTTCTCTATAAATATATTTCTATCTGAAACAAACAAACAAACACTATCAGAGAGAGAGAGAGAGAGTAAGTCTTCTGTTTATATTTATTAAACGAAGTAAGAGAACAAATGGATCATTATAGTCGGCTTTTTTGTGATGTTTTTTTTTCTAATATATATCTATAATTATTATATAACTTTGAGGAGGTAGTTTTAAGGCTAAAAACTTACTTTTTAATCGAGGGTGCTTTCACGAACTAAAAAAAAAACAAATGTCCCTTCTCGTTTGATCTTCTTCTATTCACTCATATATACTTGTCGAAATCGCATTAAAAAAAACAAAAGAACACTTGACCTCTCCCCTTTTGGCCGCCCCCTCTCTCTATTATTTTCTCGTTCAAATCCGCGATTGGATATGATCCTCCACCTCGCCACTCCTCCGAGAAACAAAAGGAAAAAAAAAAGAGTCAATTCCAGCACAAACAAACTATCTTTGAATTGAATAAGAGAGAAAAAAACAGGATAATCTTGCTTGTATTGTATTTATTATTATTATTATGATTATTATGATAAGTATTCGTTCAGAACAAAAAAAAAATAAATGTAATTTTTAGTGTAAAAAATATCACGTTTCTGGCTTCTTTTTTTTACATTTTTTATAATTTCATTTTGAGATGTGCGGTGTACAAGACTCCGAACATGTTTTCTTTTTCGTTTACTTGAAAGTACGAAGAATGAGAGAAAGAGAGAACTCTTTGCTTTTGGCTGATAACTTGTCTACGATAGAAAGGAAGATGAACTTTCATAGAGATAAAAGCTGCTAAGCCTTCCTAATCTCTTCACGTATATAAAATAATTTTTAACAAAAAAAAATATATATATGTATATTTTATGAGAAGAGAGGTTGATGAAAAAAAACAAACCCTTAACGTTTTCGTGGGTAGAGGAAGAAATGTTTTCTTTGTTTTTTCTTAAGTTGTGTGTGTGTAAGTAGTAGCCAATGCGCCGCTGATCATGCTTAGAATGGGCGTCCGCAGTACGCACTTGCTTTGGTATTATTATCATCATCAACCAAACATGATAATACCGAAAACCCGGAAGCGGACGTCCTGGGCTCATCAAGCATTTCAGCACCGCATTGCGTATATTTATATATATACATACATACATATATACATGAATACTAACGAGAACCACGCCTCGATTTAAACAAGCCACGCCCAGAGAATCACCTTAACCTGCGGACACGCCCCTCCCATCGCGCGTCTCCACGGAAACAGACGATTCCGTCTATAGGGGGCGTGTCTCATCACCCGTGGATACATACATACATAACAACAACAACAACAAAAAAAACAAAAAAATTTGTATATGATCATTAAGAAAGAGAAAAGAATGAATTTTGTTTACTGGACCAATTTGAAATTGCACTTTCAAAATAAAAGATAAACAAAACTTCAAGAGATGATGATGACGGTATAATGTTATAATGAGAGAAGGAAGCAGAATAGAAGGAGAAATTGAAAAACTAAAAAAAAAAAAATTTAAAGAGTATGCGCGTGCATGTTTTTTTATATAATAAATAAGGTACATAATAATAATAATAACTAAGGTGATCGAAGAAAGTAAAATCCAGTAAATGATGAATTAACTTTTACTAGAGGAGAGAAAGAAACAATATATGAGACCTGCAGTGTAGGTGGACGTATTTTTTTTTCTTTCGCGTATTCTTAAGGGACGAGTCTCACTTCTTTATTATTACTACTATTATTATTTCGTTCGTTTTGTCATCGTTGTTGCGAGACAGAGATGCCGGAGCTTTCATTATTATTTATATACATACATACATATTATATATAAATATAAGATATGAGGAGAAGAAAAAAAAAATGAATACATAACAAAACAAACGCATTTCTTATGTTTTTTGACGTTTACCTTCCGCCGCGCGGTGGTCGCAGTAGGCGTCAAAAAAATGCGGTCTAATAATTTAAGAGACAAAAACCTGTAAATAATTTTCTTAATCCTAACAAAACAAAAATAATAACGCTAGTT